AATTGCCCTCCCATGGGAATCCCAACATTTCCTCTAAGGATCCCACCCCACAGTTTCTTGGCTTTCCTCCAGGGACACCAATGATTTTTGTACCAATGAGTATTATGGCTCCTGCTCCAGCTGTTCTATTTATTACCTACCGTGTCATGGTTGGGAAGCATTTCGGAGCAAGAAAGGATCATCCAAACTTAAAATTAAAAGAAAATGATGAAAATTGTGGTCTTACTACTGCAGTTTTTGTTGGCAACATTTCTGACAAAGCCTCAGACATGCTAATATGACAGCTCTTAGCTAAATGTGGTGTGGTGTTGAGCAGGAAGAGAGTACAAGGTGCTTCTGGAAAACTTCAATCTTTTGGATTTTGTGAGTATGAAGAGCCTGAATCTACTTCCACCCCTGTGCTTCTCAGATTATTGCATGACCTTCAGACTGGAGAGAAGAAACTACTTGTTAAAGCTGCTGCAAAGACAAAGGCACAGTTTGATGAATGGAAAGCAAAGAAGAAAGAGTCTAATGAGAACACGAGACCAGAAACTGTCACTAATGATGATGAAGAAGCCTTCGATAAAGAAACAAAGAGAAGAGACCAGATGATTAAAGGGGCTATTGAAATTTTAATATGTGAATATTCAAGTGAGCTAAATAACCCCTCACAAGAGTCTGACTTTCATCCCAAGAAGAAGAAGAAAGAGAAGAAAGATGACATTTTCTGTAGATTTCCAGTGGTCCCACTAATCACTTACCCACACATCACCAAGAAGGATATAAATGCTATAGAAATAGAAGAAGACAAAAGAGATTTGATATCCCCAGAGATCAGCAAATTCAGAAACACACACAAGAAACTGCAAGAAGAGAGAAAAGAAGAAAGAAAAACAGGAAATTGTGAAAGAACGGGGGGGGGCGTGAAAGGGGATGAGAAAAGCGAGAATGGGAATGAGAAAGGGAAAGAGAACATGAATGAGAAAAGGAAAAAGAATAGGTGGGAATGAGATTGGGATAGGGATCATGACTGCACAAAAGAGAGAGACCGAGATCTAGAGAGGGATCCAGACTGGGATCAAGAAAGGAGCTCACACTAAAATAAGGATCAGAGCAAATCAAGAGTAAAAAGCACATACATGAAAGGGAACAGGAGAAAGAGAGAGTGAGAACAGGAATGAGAAAGAGAATGTGAGTGAGAGAGAGAAAGACAACAGGAGCATGAAAGAGAAAAAGACAAGAAAAGAGACAGAAGAAGATGAACATGCATATGAACGAAGAAAACTACTATAGAAAGAGGCTGCTTATCAAGAGCACCTTAAGAACTGGGAAATCATTTCCACCAGCAATGAAGGAGAGTTCCCCTTTCTCCACATCCTCTCCAGCATGTGTTGTCACTTGAGTTTTTGATCTTAGCCATTCTGATGGATGTAAGGTGAAATCTCAGGGTGTTTTGATTTGCATCTCCCTGATGACTAAGGACGTTGAATATTTCTTTAAGCGTTTCTCTGCCATTCGATATTTCTCTATGGAGAACTTTCTGTTTAACTCTGTACCCCATTTTTTAATTGTACTACTTATTTTTTTGGTGTTTAACTTTTTATATATTCCGGATATTAGCTCTCTGTTAGATATAGGGTTGGTGAAGATTCTTTCCCAATCTGTAGGCAGTCGTTTTGTTCTGATAACAGTGTCCTTTGTTTGCAGAAGCTTTTTAGTTTCATGAGATCCCATTTATTGATTGTTGCTTTTAGAGCCTGTGCTGTTGGTGTTTATTCAGGAAGTTGTCTCATGTACCAATGAGTTCTAGGCTCTTCCCCACTTTTTCTTCTAACAGGTTTAGTGTGTCTGGTTTTATGTTGAGGTCTTTGATCCACTTGGACTTTAGTTTTGAGCAGGGTGATAAATATGGAGGAGAAAGGGGAACCCTCCTTCACTGCTGGTGGTAATATAAACTTGTACAATCACTTTGGAAATCAATCTGTTGCTTTCTCAGAAAATTAGGAATAGTGCTACCTCAAGATCCAGGTATACCACTCCTAGGCATATATCCAAAAGTTGCTCAAGTACACAACAAAGACATTTGCTCAACCATGTTCGTAGCAGCTTTATTCATAATAGCCAGAATCTAGAAACAACCCAGATGTCTCTCAATGGAGGAATGGATACAAAAATTGTGGTACATTGGCACAATGGAATACTATTCAGCAATTAAAAACAATGAAATCATGAAATTTGCAGGCAAATGGTGGAATCTAGAAAAGACCATCCTGAGTGAGGTATCCCAGATGCATAAAGACACACATAGTATATACTCATTTATAAGTTCATACTAGACCTATAAGATAGGATAAACATACTACAATCTGTACAGCTAAAGAAGCTAAGCAAGAAGGAGGACCCTGGGTAAAATGATCAATCCTCACTCAGAAAGGCAAACGGGATGGACATCGGAAGAAGGAGAAAACAAGAAACACGAGTATATACAAAGAACTAAAGAAGCTGAAAAGCAGCAAACCAAGTAATCCAATTAAAAAATGGGGAACAGAGCTAAACAGAGAATTCTCGACAGAGGAATATCAAATGGCAGAGAAACACTTAAAGAAATGCTCATCCTCATTAGCCATCAGGGAAATGCAAATCAAAATGACCCTGAGATATCACCTTACACCCATCAGAATGGCCAAGATCAAAAACTCAAGGGACAACACATGCTGGAGAGGTTGTAGAGAAAGGGGAACCCTCCTCCACTGCCGGTGGGAATGTAAACTGGTACAACCACTCTGGAAATCTATCTGGCGCTTTCTAAGACAATTAGGAATAGTGCTTTCTCAAGACCCAGCTATACCACTGCTAGGTATATACCCAAAGTTTGCTCAAGCACACAAAAGGGATATTTGCTCAACCATGTTTATAGCAGCTTTATTTGTAATAGCCAGAACCTGGAAACAACCCAGATGTCCATCAACGGAGGAATGGGTACAGAAATTGTGGTATTTTTACACAATGGAATACTACTCAGCAATCAAAAAGGAGGAAATCATGAAATTTGCAGGCAAATGGTGGGATCTAGAAAAGATCATCCTGAGTGAAATATCCCAGGAGAAAGACAAACACGGTATATACTCACTTATATAGACCTATAAGATATGATAAACATAATAAAATCTGTACACCTAAAAAAGATAATCAAGAGAGGCGGACATGGGGTAAGATGATCAATCCTCATCTAGAAAGACAGATGGGATGTGCATTGAATGTATGACAGGAGTCTACTGAGCGGATTTGAAAGACTCTAACTAGCAGTGTTTTCAAAGCAAAGACTCATGACCAAACCTTTGGCAGAGTACAGGGAATCATAAGAAAGAAGGGGAGTTAGTCTGATGGGGAAAGGATAGGAGCTCCACAAGGACCAAATATATCTGGGCACAGGGTCTTTTCTGAGACTGACATTCAACCAAGGACCATCTATGGATATAACCTAGAACCTCAGCTCAGATGTAGCCTGTGGTAGCTCAGTAACCAATCGGTTTCCCATAGTGGGGGAACAAGGACTATTTCTAACAGGAACTCAATGACTGGCTCTTTGGCCTCCCCACCCCCCAAGGGAGGAGCAGTCCTGTTAGGCCACAGAGGAGAGCTTTGCAGCCAGTCCTGAAGATACCTGATAAAACAGGATCAGATGAATGGGGAGGAGGTCCCCCCTATCAGTGGACTTGGAAAGGGGCACGGTGGAGGTGAGGGAGGGAGGGAGGGACTGGGAGGAAATGAGGGATCGGGACACGGCTGGGATACAGCACAGCACGGCTGGGATACAGAGTTAATAAAATGTAACTGATAAGAAAAAAATAAAATTCAAAAAAAAGAAAACAAGAAACAGGACTGGAACCTACCATAGAGGGCCTCTGAAAGACTACCTAGCACTGTATCAAAGCAGATCCTGAAACTCATAACCAAACTTTGGGCAGTGTGCAGAGAATCATATGTAATTTTTTTTAATGTAGCAAATGTGAATTTTTTTTGTCCTCTAATTTGTTGGTGCCCTGTGTACTCACTTGGTTGTAAAGCCATCTGTATCCCTGGTTCTCTTTATACTCACCAGGCACAGGTTACTGGTATGCTTTTATAAGCTGCAGCTGCTGTACACAGCCTATCTGATAGAGTGCTGTTCTGCTGATTAGTTTCTTGTAAATATCAAAATGACTCCCTATTTCTTTTGCAGAATTCCACCTAAATTAAACCTGTACTGTGTAGGCACTAACTTGAATAATTTGAATATTAGCCATATCCATTACCATCTTGTCCCACTCCCCTGATCAGAAATTGCAAGCCCTTGTAAAGGCTTCGAGTTTACAGTTAGAATGCAAAAACTAGCAGACAGTTCATTCCTAATGTATCTCTTATTAATGTGTTTATGTGAATGTATATATAAAAGTGTTTTTTTAGTTAAAAAAAAGAAAAAGAATTGAGTTACCTTAGGCAGTATTAACAAAAGAGCATTAAATTGGCAAAAAAAATCCTTATCAGCTAGTAGGAATATTCAAATTTCTACCCATTTGTAAAATTATAATATTCAAACAATGTCACAAGCCATCTCAGCTTCTCCGGGAGTGTCATTAGCATTATGTTCCTATGAAAAAGTAACTGGCACTCAATAAACCTGCCTACTTATCAAAGGGATCCTGGCAACAATGTGTTATACAATTGTATATACCATCATACATAGTATAAGACAAGTGTTGGAGTCGGATGACATGCATTGGGGGCCAGCTTTGCTACTTCTACATTGATTGAGTACAACCATGGACAAGGTACTTCATCTGTCTAAGTGTTATATTTTTTAATTCAAAAAAAGAACACCACCTATCTCAGAAGGTACTTAGCCAAAGAAATGTGTAAGATAAACTGGTATTGGATGTTCAAGGGGAGATAATAAATATTTTTGTTTAGGTAGTTGTGATTGTTTTTAATCCTTTCTGGGAAGCTGAGAAAGTAAACCTTGCCTATTCTGCTTCCAGTTCCACTTGTCCTATACAGACAAGGAGCGCTTTGAAAATGAAGAGAGACCTGAGGTCCAGAAGCAGATGCTTGTGGATATGGCCAAGAAGTTACCGGTGTACACAAGAACTGGGAGTGGAGGTCAGTTCATCATCTCAGCCAGGGAGTCAGCTAATAACAATGTAAGGAACACCAAGACATCTGTGTTGTCAGGCTAGCCTTTTCCTTTCATCTTCTCGGAACCATATTTTATTATAAAAAAAACTTCAAATGCCTATCAAAGTTGGGAGCATTCTAAGTAATTCTAATACCCAGGGTTCTGCCCCTAACACTTTATTATACTGCTTTTTCACATTCCTCTCCATATAATCAACCATCTGTCTGTTTTCCATTGGATCATCTTTATTTTCTGATGCATTTTAAAACAAATAGCAAGCAAACACCAGTACATATCCACCTAAATATGCGCTCTTTTGTGGATAAAATTTGCATATGAAAATATGCAAATATCTTAAGTGTGCAATTCAATATGTTTTCATATATACACAACTGTAATCAAATCTGCTAAAAAAAAAATTACCACCACTCCAAGAAGGTTCTGCCATTCCTCTACTCAGTCAATCCCCATACACACATACAAGAATTATTCTGATAGTTTTTCCATGGTGATTAGCTTTATCTGCTCTAGAATTTTGTATAAGTAGAATCATGAAGCATACACCCTTGTGCTTCACATCTTTTAGTCAGCATAATACATGTGACATTTATTCATATTGTTGTGTGTCTTCTTCCTTGTATTGCTGAGTAGCATTGCATTGTGTAAATATAGCAGCTTATTTATTCTCAGTGGCTGATACAAATTTGGATTGTTTCCAACGCTTAGCTAGTATGAATCAGTCTACTACAAACATCCTTATAGTAATAAATGAAGGAAGATCTGTCTTCATTTACGTGGTTAAATATCCTTTGTGCAGTTTTACACTTGGATTTCATTTGGATGAATGGAAGGAGCAGTACTTACAGAAACGTTTCTCTGGTGCTTTCAGATTTGGGGGTCATTTCCTCACTGTTTGTTTATTCAGCAGATATGTTAAGGTGCACTTTGACAGATGAGGAAATTTTGATTTGATGACATTAAAGATTTATTATTAATTCTGTTAATTAGGTAATGCCATAGCACTTAATTTTTTTTTCAAAATTTTCTACACACTAAAATGTCTGTTGTTGTTTCAATATTTACTTTAAATGCTGAAGTAGCAGAGCCAGTTGAAGAAACAGGATAAAGGAAAATGACCCATTATTGAACTTGTTCAATCTGGATAATAATACATGAGCTTCATTGTACTCTTAGCCATTTTTGGGTGGGTGTTTGGAAAGAGTGATGAGGAATTTTCATTGTCAACTTGATTGAATTAAGAAACACATAGAATAGAGTATGATGGTGAACATCTTTTTTCTTTTCTTTTTTTTAATTGTATGTATTTATTATATTAATTATAGTTTATTTACTTTGTATCCCAGGTGTAGCCCCTCCCGCATTCTGTTCCAATCTCTCATCTCCTCCCATGCCCCTCTCCAAGACCACTGATAGGGGAAGTCCTCCTCCCTGTCCATCTGACCCAGGTCTATAAGGTCTCATCAGGTCTGGTTGCATTGTCTTTCTCTGTGGCCTGGCAAGGCTACTCCCCGCTCAGAGGGAGCTGATCAAAGAGACAACAACTGAGTTCATGTCAGAGACAGCCATTGTTCCCCTTACTAGGGAACCCACTTGGATACTGAGCTGCCATGGGCTACATCTGTGCACATGGTCCTTGGTTGGAGTATCAGTCTCAGAAAAGACCCCTGGGCCCAGATCTTTTCTGTACCTTGTGGAGCTCCTGTCCCCTCCAGGTCTTTCTATCTCTGGTTTCTTTCATAAGATTCCCTGCACTGAGCCCAAAGTTTGGTTATGAGTTTCAGCATCTGCTTTGATACACTGCTGAGTATAGTCTTTCAGCCTTCTGTGGTAAGCTCCTGTCCTGTTACCCATTTTCTCCCTCTTCCCATGTCAGTCCTGTTTGCCTTTCTAAGTGAGGATTGATAATCTTCCCCAGGGTTCTCTTTCTTGCTTAGCTTCATTAGGTTTACAGATTTTAGTATGATTATCCTATACTATATGTCTAATATTCACTTATAAGTGAGTATATACCCTGTGTGTCTTTCTGCTTCTGGCATACCTCACTCAGGATAATCTTTTCTAGATCTCACCATTTGCCTGCAAATTTCATGATTTCCTTTTTTTTTTTAATTGCTGAGTAGTATTCCATTGTGTAAATGTACCACAATTTCTGTATCCATTCCTCCACTGAGAGACATCTGGGTTGTTTCCAGATTCTGGCTATTACGAATAAAGCTGCTACGAACATGTTTGAGTAAATATCCTTGTTGTGTACTTGAGCAACTTTTTTATATATGCCTAGGAGTGGTATACCTGGATCTTGAGGTAGCACTATTCCTAATTGTCTGAGAAAGTGCCATAGTTATTTCCAAAGAGGTTGTACAAGTTTACATTCTTACCAGCAATGGAGGAGGGTTCCCATTTCTCCACATCCTCTCCAGCATGTATCGCCATTTGAGATTTTGATCTTATCCATTCTTATGGGTGTAAGGTGAAATCTCAGGGACATTTTGATTTGCATTCCCTGATGACAAAGGACATTGAGCATTTTTTTTTTTAGATTTTTTAAAATGTTTGTTTTTATGAATTACAGTTTATTCACGGCAGGGAGGAGATGAGGGAAGGAGGGTTTGGGAGGGAATGAGGGAGCAGGTACAGCTGGGATACAGAGTTAATAAAATGTAACTAATAATAAAAAAAGTTAAGAAAACAATTTATTCACTTTGTATCTCAGCTGTGGCCCCCTCCTCCATCCCCTCCCAATCCCACCCTCCCTCCCTCTTCTTCTCCTATGTCCCTCCCCCAGTCCAATGATAGGGGATGTCCTCTTCCCCTTCCCTCAGACCCTAGTTTATCAGGTCTCATCAGGACTGGCTTCATTGTCATCTTTTATGGACTGGTAAGGCTGCTCCCCGCTCAGGGGAAGGTGATCAAAGAGCAGCCTGTGAGTTCATGTCAGAGACAGTTCCTGTTCTTATTACTATGGAACCCACTTGGACACTCAGCTGCATGGGCTACATATGTGCAGGGGTTCTAGGTTATATCCATGCATGGTTCTTTTTTGGAGTATCAGTCTCAGAAAAGACCCCTCTGCCCAGATTTTTTTGTTTCTGTTGCTCTACTTGTGGAACTCCTGTCCCCTCTAGGTCTTTCTATCTCCCCCTTTTTTCATAAGATTTCCTGCACTCTGCCCAAAGTTTGACTATGAGTCTCAACATATGTTTTGATACCCTGCTGGTTAGATTCTTTCAGATACCCTCTGTGACCTTGAGCATTTCTTTAAGTGTTTCTCTGCCATTTGATATTCCTCTATTGAGAATTCTCTGTTTAGCTCTGTACTGCAATTTTTAATTCCAAGGCAGAGGCAGGTGAATCTCTGTGACATTGAGTCTGGCTTCATTTAATGAGCAAGTTCCAAGCCAGCCAGGGCTATATAATGAGACTTTATCTTGAAAAAAAAAAAAAAAAAAAGAGGGAGCAGAGCAAGGCACATTACTGAGATGCACCTTAGGTGTGACTCAGGGGTTCTTACAGAGATTAACCAAGCAGGGCAGACCTGCTCTGAATGTGAATGACACACTCCTAGGAGCAAGTGTTTCAGACTGAGTGAAAAAAGAAAAGAAGGGAATGTGGAGTTCCTCTTTTTCTGTCCCCTGATCCACCCTGATGTGAACTAGTTCCCACCACCATAGCCTTGTGCTACTCCTGCTCCATGCCTTCCCTTCCTTGATGGACTAATTCCTTTAATAAATTTATCTTTCTTCAAGTTGTTTTCACTAATAAAAATCTTCCATAATACTAATTTTTAAAAGTGAATAATATTTGTGAGACACTAATCCAGGAAATAAGAGTACTGAATAAGATAGGTAGGTCTCTTATGGAGTAGAAATATTTTTTATTGAATTACATCATTTCATCATTTTCCCTTTTTTCATTTCTTCCTCCAACCCTTCTCATGCAACCCCTTGCTTTCTCTTGAATTCATGACTTCTGTTTTCATTTTTATTGTTAATATATATATATATAGTTAATATATATTCCTAAATATGTAAATGCCACCAGCTCAGTCCATATGATAATGCATATGTGTATAAGATTTCAGGGCTGACCACTTGATATTGGATAACCACTTGGAATGTTCTGAGGAAGATTATTTCTCCCGTTCTTAGTAGTATTCTTTAGTTGCCTATTGTTCTTAATCTAGTGTCGAGCCCCATGAGACTTCCTCCCCTCTGTGATAGCATATTGCCTTTGTTCAGATTTTTTTAGACAGTCAAGTTAATGAGATTTCATGGACATAGCTGCCCTGGCATTTCTGAGAGATGTAGTCTCACAGCAGGCTTCCTTTTCCTCTTTATTATAATTTTTCTGCCGCCTCTTCTGTAAAGTTCCCTGAGTCTTAGGTCTAGGAGTTGTGTTATAGATATATCAATTGGACTAGGCTCCACAACTTTGCGTTTTGATCACTTGTGGTCTCTGGTGCACAGAGAAGTTTTATTGATGAGGGTTAAGGAATTATGCATATCTTTGGATTTACGAATAAATATTTAGAATGTAGTTAGGAAGTATACTGGTTTAATTAAGTGGTTGTTTGTAGGTTTTCCTTCCTGACCTCACTAGCCCTGGATTGGTTTATAGTTTTCCAGTACCAAGCATGATTTCCCTCTTGTTGATCAAATCTTAAGTCTCATTAGAGAGCTATTAGTTACTGCAAAATTATGTGTGCCGCTATTGCACCCTTAGGGTTTTCATGCCATTCTGGTCATTAGTGTAGTTCATAGACATCAAGCTAAGACTGTAGGTTGCTTCCCTCCCTTGGAAACCTGCATGGTACCTTCTAGTACCATGAAAGCTGGTCCTCAGGCAAGAGAGGTCAGATACAACCCTGACCAGCAATTCAAAAGAGGTCTTCTTAGGCCTAGCATTGAACTTTTTATTAGATAACCTACGCCTCTTAGAGTGTATTATACTCCCAAGTGAGAAA